TAGGTTATTGGTTATTCCCTTTTAAATTTTGCCTCCACCCTCTTTAGAGGGAATAAAAATTGTTACTGCCTAAGTGGCTACAGAAAGGATGAAGACAGATACTAGATCCAGTGCTTAGCGCATAACTCTCATTATTAGCTAAAATTATAATTAAAAATATTTTTCTCTAGGAAAATTATTCAAAACAAAGGTGCTTGAATAGCTTTTATAGTACATCTCTCTCTTTTCTGAGTATTTTAAAATCATTTTTTCTACCTGTTTTTTAAACTATGGTAACTAATTCTAAAAATGGCAGATACTATTGGAATTTTATGTTAAGTATATCCATATATGACATGATATATGAATTTTTATTAAGTAAGGTTGAACAAAAAGTAAATATAATTGATGCCTATAGATATTTGGTCGTACAGTAGTGACATGTAGCAGATATATTTCTCATTTAAGATATTCTCTGAGGCTTCAGAACCTAACCCTTAGTTAATATGATTAACATTTCCCTTTTCTCTCTTTCCAAGCATAATAATATTCCAGATTTATTCTGAATCACATTCATTATTCAAAATCCTAAAAAGAAAATAATTAAGAAATACCAGTAAGTGTCTGTCTATATGGTTCCTATTTGATTGGTACCTTTTGGTGAAGTATATTTGACCACATTATTTTTTATTTCCGAGTTAAAAGCTAAAGTTTTTACCTATGCTCAGATAATATAGGCTATGTATTAGACCTGCATTACCTGAGCATACCTGCCCCAATTCCCCTCAGGCTTTATTTCCTACTCCTGGTTCCCACTCACTGGCACCAGTCCCACAGGCCTCCCTGCTGCACTTCACCCTAGAAGCTTTGTACTAGCCTTTGTACTAGTCGTCTTCCCTGATAAATCTGCAGGGCTGACTTCCTCATCTCCTTAAGTACTAGCTCGAACCTCACCTTTGCAATGCAACTACCTATTTAAAACTACTGTACCTCTTCATTTCCCAGTCTATTTTTTATTTCCCCTGAAACATTTATCACCTTCTAACGTACAATGCTATATATTGTTTGCCTGCCTTAACTTCATATAAGTTCACAAAAGCAGAGACATGACTTTGTTTACTCAAGTCTCCTTGATCAGAGCACATAGTAGACACTCAGTAAATACTCATTGAATTAATGAATGAATTCTCATGTAATAAGTATACACACATTCATGGGTACACACTACATAAAATTGATAATTTAAGCTTGCTACAAAATGTAATTTTGTGAGCAGTCACTAGACTTTAACAGAATTTCAAAAGTCTTTACTAAATTCCTATAGCTAAGTGTCTAGTACTTGGGGAGGCCTAAGGATGGTGGTAGGGGAGAAGTCATAAGAAGGAAAGTATTGGTGGTAGTGGATGTGTAAGAATTACAATACTGCCCTGCCCTCAGATAGCTAGTCTTAAGACTACCTAACAGTCTTTAGGGAAATGTGGCACATATATGTTAATTTTAGAGAAAAATGCCAGAAATTATATGTACAAAAGGAACAGTAGTAAGTCATTGTGTAAGTCAAAAAGAGCAATGACACTGATGAGCTGGAATATTTGGGTTCAGTTTTTTCTTTCTTTCTTTTTTTTTTTGAGACAGAGTCTTAACTCTGTTGCCCCAGGTAGAGTACAGTGATGTCATGATAGCTCACTACAGCCTCCAACTCCTAGGCTCAGGTGATCCTCCTGTATGATTTACACAGAATCATACAGTTAGTTGGTAGAGCTGCCAAGAAAAACATCCCAATGTTCTCTTTGTTCAACACATCATGCTAGGTGGAGCTATATCAGAGCTTCTCTCTCTTCATTGTAAATCATCACCTCATCTCAGGTCATATCTAATGGCAAAGAAAATGAAGAGATAAATTTAAAACTTAATGAGGCTTTTCATAACTTTTTTTGCCTTCAATCTGAAGATGAAAAATACTATTTTTAGAGGATGAGAAAGTGAATGAAGCAGTTTCAGGCCCTTATCTACTGAAACAATATTCTACATCTCTTGTCTCAGTCTTAGAGAATGAACATATTTTAAAATGACTATAATTAAAGATTGTGACTGTGAGAGGAACATTAATTTTATAACAGGTGAAAATAATGCAATAGTATGTAGCATAAGTGGGGGTAGAGTATACGGCTGTCTAATTTTGGCCTACTGGAACTAGTATAGATTTTCCTTCAAACTCAGCATAAATGTAGCTCTAAGAGCATAATAGCAGCTTTCCTTGCTGCTTGGAGATTTAAAGTTAAAGGCAGCTAGACCAGTTTTAATATGTAGGTCTGCAAGTGACTAATCTGGCAGGTTATTCCTTCTGCATTTACTAATGTTGCTACCTTATTTCTAAGTGGACATTCTGGGGTTATATATTTTTCTCTGTACTTCAAAATAGTTATGAATCTTCTGAGAACTAAAGAACCTAGATATTTCAAAGGCCTATTCTACATCAGCAGATAAACTATATTGTTGTGGGGTTTGAGAAAGCAACATAGTGTAAACTTCTTTTTTTCATTAATTGATTAGCCTACCTCTTTTTCTTTCTTTCCCCTCTTTAGTAGAAATTGTTCAAACTTCAAGAATAATTTAATTTCTTCTTTCTGGACCCAGTAATTTCCTGCAAGATACATCAGAGTTGTGGGTTTTTGGGGTTTTTTTTGTTTGTTTTTTTTTTTTCATGATACAGAAAGTGAATCTTTTAAAAGACAGATAAAAAATACAACAAATACCGGAGTTACTGGAGTTTAAAATGTGGTTGCTCATTTTAGCCAATGTAATTTCAAATAATTAAAAGCATTGAAATAAATTTATTTAATGAGTTCGTATGCCTAAAAACTAAAATTGAATATTTGGAAGAAAGTGAGGAAATGAGTTTCAGTCTTTTTCCTTAGAACATTGCAAATTAAGGAAACTGTTTACTAGCTTATTTTATCTCAGCTAATGAAACTTATTTTTCTCCAAATTTGGTTTTTCTGTCAAATATTCAGAGACAAAAATATACTATATTGTAATATTCAATCTCTTTTATCTTCTAATTTGATATAAGAGGTTACCTTTATAGATTACTTAACAGAGTCAAGTTGAGATTTTCTTCTTCACCAGTCCCTATCCCCACCTGGCTTGTTCCCCCTGCCCAATATAGAATCTCCTAACTTGGAATCTCTCTGTAAAGTCATATTCCTGAAGTCTGCAGGTTTTGCTGTTCAGTATGCTCCAACAAGCTGATTTGCTTAAATTCAGTGCTTTGTGCCATTCCCATGAATCTGAGCTAATTATACTGCCATTTTTCAGAGATGTGCATTAGAATTCATGTGTGCCTAATTCTGAAAATGGCTTTTACATTAAGGCTCATTTAACCACTGATGATAAGAGAGAAGTTGAGAGACTTCGTTATTCGTGATACTTTTACAATACAGTAATAGCATGGAACTCTCTTGTACTGCAGGCATATAAGATGCTATGTTGTCAACCTCTCACTTACTAGGAATGTTGCAATTTGACTTACGTTTTACTCGTCAAAATGTCAGAGACGATATGTTTAGTCATGGAAAAGAAAATCAGTGTCCAGCATGCAAAGACAGTAATAGGGTAAGCACTTCCCATTGCATTTTCATAGGAGGGATTGATTTGTGTGCATTACTGGTCTGTGTAAAATGGTGTCCTTTTGGCATTAGCTGGATATAAATTTCAGGAAATGTATTTTCTTGCTGCAGATTAGTGGAATACAGTGAAATTTTTCTGTAACTGAGGGGAGGCAGTGGTTGGGTGTCTGTTAATAGCCTGAAAGTAACTAATGAGGATGTGCAGTTGAAACGATTGATTGAATAGCTGCAGTCCTGTGTGTTTCCTTCTCGCTTGCTCTCTCTGCAAGCTGTAGAGAGGGAGGAGGAAGAGCAAGACACAGGGAGGGAGCGAGAGAAAAAACGCTTTCTCTTAAGTGGAAGTAGCACGGATCCCAGGGGCCAGAAGGCCAGAAATGGAAGTTTAAACTGCATCTATCTTTTAAAGGGAGATCAGCAGGAATCAAAATGTCAGTCTCCGGAGTCACGATTTACTCCTTATTTTCTAAGATCTGGAAGATAACACAGAATACTTTTTTTAGGATGTATTTTTTTTCCCTTGTCCATGTTGAGATTATCTAATGTTATCTGAGAAGCTGGATTTCTATATGTCTGTCAGTTGAAGTGGCGATGGGAAGCAGTTGTGATAAAGGTATAATATGTATATATCTATCATCTGTGTGTGAGTGTGTATGCGCATATGTATGTGTGTGTATATATATTACTCTATGAAAATATCTTTAAATGTAGCCTTAATACACTATATAGTAATTAAATAGAATTTCACATCGTCTACAAAATCTTAAACTTGTTAGGTCAGTTTAAACAGATTTAGGATTCCAGAGTAAGATCTTAGTAAGGTCATATTGCCAGACAAGGAGAAGCTGATCTATTTTTATATCTGCATAGGCATTTATGTTATTTTATTCTGGCAGCAGCTTTCAGTCTTCTCATGGCCCTTTCGTTGCAGTCTAGTGAATCATCTTATCTGCACAGAATCGAACTTTGACCTTTGTGCTAACACCATCAAATCATGTGCAACACTAGACTATATTTTGTTCATGAGAATATTAGAAATTTCATTTCATTCTGTTAACTCCTACACTGCTGACAGATGAAGTAGATTGATACAGTGTGAAATACAAATATTAAGTGAACTTAAAGATTTTAATCATAGCTCAGAGGAAATTATTTTTTATATATGCATGGATAAAGATATAAGCTGTCACACTGAAAAAGATTCTTAACTGTAACCAAGTCTCTCTAGTGTCTTGATAGTTCCAACACCACAAACATAAACAGAGTGTGTAGAGATAAGATATAACACACCTTTAAAGCAAACTGACTTTTTATGAAAACCCACTAATTTTCCAGTTTAGTGAAAGATCCTAAATGTTAGGTTCTTAATGTTACAACTTTCCTCTTCTTTACCAGAGGTGCCAGCAGAAAGATCCCCTCGCAGACGGAGTATCTCAGGGACCAGTACATCAGAGAAACCCAACTCCATGGACACTGCAAATACCTCACCCTTCAAAGTACCAGTAAGTGTTTCTTTTCTCTATGAGAATATTTTACTTTTTTCCTTTCTTCTTAGAGTTAGAGATAGCCATGAAGGAATCTAGACATTTTTCTCCTCCAGAATTTCTTATGATACTGAGGTTCAAGGACAGAGTTATCAACATATATTAACTGTAGTTAATGTCTTCTATTTTCATATAAGGTTAATTAGGTTTTAGGAAATATTTTTACTTATGGGATATTTACAAAATATATAACTAAATACATTAAGTTCACATTCCTCTAAACTATAGAATGTAAATCGTTGCTGATGCCCTTTCATCAAGTTGCTAGCTAAAACCTATCAAAATTCTGTAAAGATGCTGGTGGGAGTTTTTCTGTTTTGTTGTGTTGTGTTTTAGGGATGGGAATATGATTTTTTTATTTTTCAGAGCTGGAGCATAAGCAAAAAGTGATGAGACCCACAAAGTGGCAGAGCAGATTCACAAAGAATTAGCCAATTGTGAATTCTAACCCTGAGGCTTGCTGTGCTTTGTTTAAACCATCTTTTAGATGAGCATCTAAGTGCTTAAGAAATACCCTGAAAAAAGGTAACTCCTTAAACTGAGCAGGCAGTATTGAGAATCAGTATTAAACACAAAAGAATGCTGAGATGGAAGGGCCATGTGTGATCAAGTCAGCTGACTACCAGTTGCAGGCCTAGTTTGAACCTTTTGCATATAACTCTGAGTAACCCAGATTGTAAATCATCTCCTTTCTTTGTTTATTAGGTAAGAAACATCCTTACTTCTTAATCATATCATTTCATTAAAATGTATTATTTTTATAATTAAAAAGAATTGCTTCATGAGGTTGGTCATTATTTAAGTTACAATGAAAATCAGTATGATGTAGAAATAGACTTTTCTATTTTTATAAAAACATTTTTTTCTCTTAATTCAGCCAAGTTAATATATTATGTCTTTCTTTATTCTAAAAGGTTTTTTTTAAGTTGGGATGACCTCTTAAGTAGAACCGATTTTTTGAGATATATAAACTGACGTTCATGTGCATGGTAATCAAAACTGGTATTTAATTTTGTATTAACCCTGAGGAGCAAGATTTCTCCTTGTTGTAACTCAGGGCCTTGAGGAGTTTGTGTATATCTGTTACTGTGACACCTTTTTAATTTTTATAAATTTTCTCATTAGATCACAAGCATGTCCTAACCAAATATAATAGGAGTTTTAAAATATCATATTTAATGCCTTTAACTAAATTTCTTTGTTCCATAGACATAGCTACCTATTTTTTATTTTTTTCCTTCATGAATGAAAAAAGCATTTTTTTTCTTTCCCCTCCTTTTCTTCTTTTCCTGATGGTGCAGGAACCAATAGGTTAAACTGACTAATAACCACATAGAAAGTTTGGTGAAGGATTGAGTTTGAAGTTTTTACACAATCATGCTGGAACTAAATGGTAAATTCTTTTTTTTTTTTTTTTAAGTTAATAACTGAAGAAGAATATCCCTCTGCAATAGGGTAACATTGAAACACATCCTATATTGAGTCTGAAATTCATGGCCAGGCTTTTAAATTTTGAATTAATTAAGAACCATGATTTTCATTTGTATTTTTTAAAATAAGTTGATGACTACTTTAGGATTTATCTTAACAATAAGACTAATTATTCTTGAGTAAAAGTTATAAAGCAATGATGGATATACATGAAAGCTAGCACTGTTTACAAACCAGTTAGTACTCAATTGTTAGTCTTCTAATAATCTCACCCACCTCATGGATTTAGAAATAATGAAGGAAGGGCCTCTCATTAGCAAATTGCAGTCACAAAGCTCATACACTTAGCTCTCTAAGAGAATTTAACCATTCATAGACCCTCACTGAGACAGTTTTCTGAAAAATAACCAGCAAAACACACTGATACAACGAAAAAGTCAGTGAGTATAGGGAAGAGGCAGAAAAAAATGAATAGCAGAGAATCATAAAAACAATCTGAATCCACCTTGAAAAAATGCAAACTGCTTTTCCTTTAATATTAGTCCTTAAGGATACCATTGTATTCCAGGATGGTACATAGCACAGAAATTGACATGGATAATAATAATCTTAAATTATCAAGAAAAAGTGAGAGTATATTTGTTGTGCAATTTTTTAAAAGTGGAACTATGTAATAGTATGTGCTGTATATCCATTGAGAATGTTTAAAATCTTGAAGATATGTGATGTTTATAAAACTTGTTATCCAGAAAGTCTGGTTTGTTAAATACCTCATTCCTTGATCATGCTAGATAATAATGTATATATTTTTAAGAGAAACCAAAATATGCTGGCTAAAAGAGGTACTACAGTACTTGCATGGCTCTGTAGTACATTGTATTTTTTAAATTCCCATGTAATGCCAATAGCTAAGGTGACTTAGATCACTTAAATATATTGCTGGTTAGAAGAAGGTCTAGTTTTCAGGTCAACTCAAAATAGTTTATAATTAATATCACAGTGGACTCTTTGAATATGGAGCAGTATAAAATCAGCCAAACTTTGAGATATTTATTTACACACTATCTCGAGGAAGATTGTTTCCATGTTAACTTTATAAAGAGACAGAAGCATAATTTTAGCACGGATACTAGTGGTTCTAAGATTCAATTGTCATTTCTGTGATAAGCTGTAGGCCCAACATTCATCAAGTAGACCACCAAAAACCTAGTAGTGGACTCTTAAACAGGGTCTTATACTTTCCAGCTCCATTTTCAGACTTAACTGCAAGCAGATAAGATAGATTTTAGCAAGTCCTGACTAAAATTATTTACAATGGCATACTTATTGAATGCTTACTTTAAGCAGTATATACTGGTGCTTCACCAATTAATTTATACCTTCTTGGTATTCTATGCATGGTACTGGGGAAACAGAAATGAACTACAAAAGAATTTTTCACTCCCAGAGAGCCTATAGTCTAGCAGCAAGAGAGAGAAAAATGACCAGATTCATGAAGAAGTAGGTAAGCAGGGTGACACAAGCTATTAACAATCCAATGGGGAAGCTAAGGCTTTGATAAGGAGCAATATTTGAGCTGAGTTTCCAAGGCTGAGAGAATGTAACTGATGGGGTAAGAAGAGCATTCTGCACTGGGGGATAGTGTTTGGGAAGGATAGACTGCATGGGGTGACTGGTGCTTCCAGGGAATACAGAAGGGATTCAGCAAAGCAGGCATCAGAAAGTATGTGGGCAAAAATGGCAAGCAAGATGGCTGGGAGGGTGGGTTGAAGCAAGAGTCTGAGCAGGGTTGTTTGTCGAGCTTAACTAAATCATGCTGGCTGCTAAAGCCTTGGAGATGTGTTTATTGGAATGTATGTCTTTGGCTCCAAAGCTAACAAAGATGTATAAGTACTGTGAAGTATTGGTAAATTTCTTGACACTTCCCCTACCTGACTCCTTTTTCTTCTTGCTGTCACAACTCAAGGCAATAGGTAAGGGGCTGTCATTCAATAGACGGCCAGGCCAGCACTCACCCCTGGCCCTTCAGCTGACACTACTGATTTTTCAAGAGTAGTAGTTAGCCCCAGGGAGCTCCAGGAGAAGCCAGTGGATAAGGGTTGCTCATATCCTACAGTTGGTGTCAGATAAAGCAGAAAGAATAACTACAGCAGTGAGCTCAAAGCAGGGAAGCCCAAAAATCTTTGTAGGTCTTCCTCATTCACAACATTTATGCTTTTAAAAACTTAGAATAGGCCGGGCGTGGTGGCTCACACCTGTAATCCTAGCACTCTGGGAGGTTGAGGAGGATGGATTGCTTGAGGTCAGGAGTTCAAAACCAGCCTTAGCGAGACCCCGTCTCTACTAAAAATAGAAAGAAATTAATTGACCAACTAAAATATATATATACAGAAAATTAGCCAGGCATGGTGGTGCATGCCTGTAGTCCCAGCTACTTGGGAGGCTGAGGCAGCAGGATTGCTTGAGCCCAGGAGATTGAGGTTGCTGTGAACTGGGCTGACGCCACAGCACTCACTCTAGCCTGGGCAACCAAGTGAGACTCTTGTCTCAAAAAAAACCAAAAACTTAGAATAGATGACTGGTACAGCAAGGTGTTAATGTTGAAGAAATAAGAAATGCGAGAAGAAGGGATTTATATAGCTATTGAACCGATAGGTTAAGGTAATGTCTTACCTTTTAGGAATGTTTAAATGTATTTGTACTTTTATCTAATCACAGCCATAGAAAAAACGGTGACCTGCAGGACAGTGTGTTCTTCCTTCACTCTCATTCCCTATTTCTCCACACATACCTTAATTCCAATTGCAGTTTTTGTTGTAGGTCTCTGTCCCTCATTAGACAATGAATACCTGTTCTAATCATCTTTGTAACTACCCCAGTGTCTAGCACAGTACCTTGCACATAGCACTCAACAAATAATTATTGAATGGATAAGATATGCATGAATTATCAAAGGACTTGAATTGAATGAGTTTATCCAACATTTATTCTCTTGTTATTAGATAATGTCTCTACTCAAATGGAATACTAAATAGTTAATAACATTTAATAAACATTTATTAAGATATCATTTGGAATAATTGAGTATACCTGTGCAGAATAGTGAGGTTTTTTTCCCCTCAACAAAGAGAGATTTAAATTAATATTTAGAATTCAGAGCTATTTATGTATATAGTGTATACTGTGTCTACTTATTAGAAACTGAAACTAGATAGCTTTATTTATTTAGAGACAGGGTCTTGTTTTGTTTCCAGGATAGAGTGTAGTGGCATCATTATAGCATCATAGCTCACTGCCTGGGCTCAAGTGATCTTCCTTTCTTAGTTTCCCAAGTAGCTGGAACAACAGATACACACCAGGTGCCAGCTAATTTTTTCTGGTTTTTGTAGAGACAGGGTCTTGCTCTTGTCCTTGTTCAGGCTGGTCTCAAAACTCCTGAGCTCAAGCAATCTTCCCATCATGGCCTCCTGAAGTGTCAGGACTATAGGCCTGAGACACTGTGCCCAGCCAGATAGAATAGTTTATTT